TCCTTTAAAGTCAGCACAATTTTGGGGATGTGCTTCGGGGACAAGCCCCTTCGCATGTACGCATTGGACGCGTGTTGTAGGGATTGTACGCGAGCTGGTGCACAAGAACGAGATTGAGGCATAAAATTGTGTTGTAGCGGGGACAGTTTGCAAGAGAAGTGCACAGGTTGCGACCTTGAAAATCGAGGTCATTTTAATTTTCCCTCCTTCAAGTTGCACTGATTCCAACCATTTAAATTTCATGCAAAATGTTGTGGGGACAAAACTTTTTCCCCCGGAACATAACTTCTTCGCAAAAACGTGCATATATCACACATAATTTTACAGGAAAACTGTCGCTGCAACATGTACCCGATTCGCGTCCACGCAATTTGTCTCCTAGTCAATTTGCCTACCTTTGTGTGTTAAACCTCTTCACTTTGCGCGCATGGCAAAAAATGGAGGGTTCTGGAGTCGAAAACTCGACCTTTTTTAACATTTTTATTGTGTTTCTACAGAATGGCCCAAAGGAAAATTCTGCATTTTGGCAAACGGCCGCTGCCCTGAAGGTTTTAAACGCCACGAAGGACACCTTAAGTCTCTGTATCTCTACTCGTCTCATTCGCAGTTTGTAAACTCGGCTAAATTTGGAAGCAGTTCTATTGGTTGTTTTGGTAGGTACTGTGGACAATACGGCAATTTCATTGGTTCCCTCACCTTGATCACGTGCTGCAAGTAGGAAAGAAGTATAAATATGTTAGAACACGTACAGTGTGACCGCGACGTCAACTATTTTGAGATCGCGGAATTGTTTTAGATTGTCAGTCAGGTCTTGAGCCCGTATTGTGCAGTGGTCTGAATGAGTAAAGACTTAAACCCAATGTTAAACCCATTGCATGTAAGTAGTATAAATAACTTATACGATGTAAGTAATAGGTGTGAATTAAAAATGTGACACAGGGATGCAATTCATTTCTCAACGATGATAAAGGCCTCTGAGAAGCCAATCACGTTAAAATCACTAATTGAAACTTCTTCCTTTTAAAACTTTTTTATAAAATGCCCAATTTGTAGTTCTTTGTACTTCCAAAGCTTACAGAGTGTCGTTACTACCCGCATGAAGCCGGGTTGATAGTCTGGTAACGATTTACATCTAGTCCCTCGGAAGTGAGCGGCTGTAGCTATTCTTTGAAATCGTATCAGTCTTGTCCAGCTTTTCCATCTTTTTTCCTTGTGATTCATTATTAGCTTTCTGGAGCTTCTATCGTAGCAGTAACCTGTTATCTTGAGATTTACGTAAAATCTTCGACTAGAAGGTCATACTGCGCATGTAAAGAATACCACTTAAGGTATCTTAGCAACCAACAAATGATGGTCAACATGCGTTTCCGAAATGACACGATCTAGCAAACCACCATAGCGAATTTAAGTGGCCGTTTTGAGTGTCAGCCCTTTGTTCGTCAAAGCATATATTAGTGGATTGTGAGTGTCGTGTATAAGGAGAGCTGCGCTATTCGGTGTTGGAAAGTGCATGTAACGAATTAAAAATAAGTGAGTAGTGCTGAGTGATTCCGAAGGGGAGTTCAGCAAATGATTTGCTGAAATAAAATTCGGCGACTTCAGCCAAAATGAGGGTTTACTTTCCGACATAGATAAACAACACTCAGTTGTTCGCTTGGGGTGACATCACTCAAACTAAACATGTTTCCAAACTTTTTTTCTTTTCTTTCAATGTCACTTGGAGTTAACTGACTTCCGAGCTTCTCAAATGTTTTCGAGATGGAGACCTAAATTTAGAATTGGGATTTGAGCAAAATAACGTGTCTTGATTACTGGCTTGAAATCACAAAGGAATACTTTGTATGAATTGTGTCAAAGTGTTAATTCTCCATAGTAATTGATTCTTTTACACAACACTCGGTAAACATAATGGCCCATTTTCAGCATTTTAATATTGTTTCAGTGACAGCTTTCAATGAAGTAATAAGGTGGTTTAGTTCTAAAAGAGAATTCCTCATTTATGTTAATCTCAAGGCTTCGCACACTTCTGAGAATAATTTGATTGACGTTTTTGCAAACATTAGGCGCTAGTTGACTTGTTTTCCGATAAAATTTGATTTCCCAAGACGGTTTTTCTTTGTTTTTTTTCTTCGTCTCTAAATTGATATGTATTTTTTTATATGTACATTTAGTGTTTGACCAGGAAAAAAATTATGTCGGCATGGATTCCGTAACTTCCCATCAAGAATCTGGTATATTAGATTTCTTTTTTCCCTCTGAGTTGGTGTAAAGAATAAAAGCACAATTACTTGAGAATTTTTGGTTTCGTGGTGCATGTGTTCTTCCATCAGCTGTAGGATTTACGTTGTTAGCAAACATGTTGTTACTGAGTCGATTGGGCCGAAAGCGGTTGTGCTGGCTTGGATTTCGTGTGATATTGTTGAGTTCCATTTTTCTGTCGATCGGGGTTTTCGTCTCAAATGTTGTGATGAATAAGCGTCCCAGCATAATCCAACAGAGTCAAGATGCGTTCAAGTTAAGAGAAAAGCTGAAAGTAAAGGCTCCAAAATTTTATGAAGAAAACGAACGGCCGTTGACTACAGGAGGGGCTAACAAGAAGCGACTAAACCTGATTATTGTGGCGCATGGACGGTCAGGATCAACTTTTCTTGGTAATATTTTCAACCATCACCCATCAGTGTTTTATCTGTTTGAACCTTACCAAACAGTAGAACGAATCGTCAGAGCCCAGGCACCTTTCAACCAACATTACCAGGAAACGGCCTTTCGATGGATGCAAGGCGTTTTTCAATGTGATTTTGTATCAGCCGCGCACGTGGATGACTTACAATCGTATTATCGAAAAAAGTACCCAGAAAACTACAACCCAATGAAGAGTCTTGTGTTACTTTCCCCACCGTTCTGCCGCTACAACGCAACCGATCCAAGATGGACTTTGGACAGCTGTCCTCCACTCGATCAGCAAACGATGGAAGAAGAGTGTAAGAACAAGTACAGAATAACGGTTGCTAAAGTGTTAATATCGAGGATGCCTGAACAAAATTTAAAGCAGTTGTTATCTATTTGCGATACTTCGGATCAATTTGACTGTAAACTCCTTTTCTTAGTTCGTGATCCGAGAGGTATTATCCCTTCTTCGAAAGCTGTCGGATTTTACGGAGACAAAGATGGAACCGCTTTGAATGGAACAGAGCAGTTTAGCCAGAGTATTTGCGGTTTGACAGAGGCCAATTTGAAAATCATCCGATCCTTGCGATCTCCAGAGAAATCGCAATTTATGTTACTGCGTTACGAAGATTTAGCAGCGAATCCTTTGAAAACTTTGCCAAGTTTGCTTAAGTTTGCTGGGCTTCCAATGGACGAGAGTATGTCAAACTGGCTGTACCTAGCATCCCATTTGCCTGAAACTGAAAGCGAACGAAAAGCCGCACGGTGGAGACAAGATTCCCAGGAGGGAGCTGAAAGATGGCGCTGGAAAGTCAAACCTGGAACCATCGCTGTTATTGAGCAGCAGTGCAAGCACGTGATGAACATACTGGGGTATAAACCAGTGAATGGATCACGGAAAATTCAAACCAATCTTACAGTTAGCCTGTTAAAAGACAACTACGAGGCGTTGCAATGGTTTAATGACTAATGTTTAAGTCGGCAAGCCCTAAGTTTAGCTTTAACTAAAACATTTCATTTGAAAAAGTGTACCTGAGATTTGGAAGCAGTTTTCAACGAGGGTTAGTTGGGGGTGCATCTTTTGGAAGCTCGTGGTAATCGCAACGCAAAGTAACCTGTACTATTAAACTAAACAGTTGCTTCCATGTAGCTGAGAAAAATTCAAATTTATACAGCTAAACCAGATTCCTAACCTCACCCTCCCTGTTCTAACTACTTTGTTGTTACACGTGTTAAATATTCCCTTCACAACACCTCTGATTACCTTAGGGGCTGTTTCACGGCTATGACGATGCACTGTTTAAATATATTGTTTACGAAAAAATCGAAAATCAGCTGCTGACTCTTGAGGGAAATTTTATATTAAGAAATGTTACAGTCGGTCGTGAAAAATCGGCGATAGAGGTGAAATTTTGCCATTTGCATGCTGAAGACTGAATTCGACAGTTTCTCAGTTAATCTGTCAAGAGCTTCTATTCCGTTAAATTTGGGCATCAGTCATTCTGCTTCCACAAATGAAAGTCTGCGATTCCTTGATGCATATAACTTGCACATGCGCCACAGCGTGAAACCGCTATTACTACTCATCACCGTTGATTCAGAGAACGACCAATAAGACTTAAATACTCAGAAGTTATTCGCCTGGTTTCCAAGGCTACTCACGTTGAGCTTGAACAAATGAGACCATTCTTCGGAGGCAGAAGATGGAATTAAACCTTTAAATAAAACAGGTTATTTGGCTAAAATATTACTTGTCACACCTCGCTTAATTTTGGTCAAGTAACACAAAGTGCAATTTATGTCTGCAACATAAAGTACCAGGCGTTATATCCGCCCCCCTATCGGGTCCAGTCTTCGTTCCTCTCCCTCCCTCCCTCTCCCTTTCATAAGCCAAGCGGTAATCAATTTCTTCCAAGTCTACTTACGAGTCATTTAACAACAATAAAAGAATACATTAGCTGTTAAGAGTACAATGTGCGAATCTTACACTTGCGCCAAGCAACACTGGTGTAAAAGCAAGATGGAATAAAATTAACTTTAAGGTAATTTAAAGTGCTGGAAAATGGACCCAAGTGTTTTCTCTTGTCGTGAACAGTAACCCCTCTGCGGGATTCAAATCCAAACCTGCCATCTATCCCTATTCCCATTAAATAAACTGTTTGTCTNAGCTTTGTAGTTATCTCGTGGTCTCATTGAGGCTAGGTTCTGTATTCTGACCGCTAAATTACAGCTTATTTTCTCTATTATATCATGTAATCGTTGCATATCATTTGTCATTCCACCCACGTTTCCTGTATTTCCACTGAAAGAATAATTCAGGACGGCCACTGCCGACTGGTGTTTCTCGTTTGTTTAGCTTTGTACTCAACACGACTAGGATTGCGTTGTTCTGCTCTATGACACTTAACAGTTTCCTGTCCTCTGAGTGCAAGGGTTATCGGAGCGCTTGCTTTGTCCCAGGAGCAATTAGAGAATTTACAGTATGACAAATTGTTTAGCTGAGCTGCCATGTGACTTATAGGTGTGCTGCTCATCGTATTTTTCAGTAGTCTTATTGGCCTCTTTAGGTAGGAAAACCTCGATCTGATGTTGAGACCTAATCAGAATAAACGATGACGTCGTCACGTCACGTGATGATTGATGGACGGGCGATGGTGGTTGTCATGAGACTGCAGGGTTGACACGCCAGAAGCGTCACGCAATAAGTCACACAAGAAAGATCTTTTTTAAACAACAAGGTAAAATTTAAAGCGTTTTTCCTAGATGTACATGACGGGACGTTTGTTGCAGTCCCGGTGACCAGCACCCTACGTCTCCAAAAAGTAGTTGCAAATCAAGTAACAGTTTTGCCATGTCTCTGTCATCGGGCGTGCAACGAAAGTACTCGTACGGGTAGGTCTTGCAGGTCTCGGGGTCCACCATACGTTTATTGAAGACCATTTGGCATATTTTAGTCTGTGGTCTTGTCTCGAGAGCATAGCGTTTGGCGTCCCTGACGATGTGAAAGGTTTTCTTGACATCGGTTTTACGACTCCAAGTCTGCAACGGTTCTTGAATGTCGTCGAAAACATTTTGGAGTAGCACTTGGTAGTTGAGTAGCCACACCCCTCCGCTGTTTAATGAGATGCCACCGACTTTGCACACCTCTTTACCGTTTTTGGTTACTTACACGTAATTCGTCAGACCTCCGGACGAGAATGCGACGATGTAATAGCCGCTTCACAATTCATCCTTGAAATCCCCCAGATAGTCGCTTAAGAGAGGATCTGGCAGCTCAAGGCAATGGATGAAAACGACGCTGTCCGTATCAAACTAGACTATGCGCTCTTGCAGGAGATCGAGAGTCTCGTACAGGCGGAGACGGACCCAACAAGTGGTGAAACAAGTGACGAAGATGTTAAATTAGGCTAGACAGGATCGTCCTCTCTCTGATGCTTGTACTGGATTCCTACCCTATTCTTGGTTAAAACGCTGAAGTACCGAATGTCAATTCGGTCGCTCTCGTAGAACTTGTTAAAGTCGATAGGGTTGTCGAATTCCTTAACGCGAGTCACGTTGGAACGCTGACCAAACTTTTCCCAAATAGCGTTTAGCATCATCTTGGCCAAGGCACGGAGATCAGGGTTCAGGGTTCAGACTAATAATCTTGGTAGCCGGGTCCAAGCAAATCCTTCCTCGGGCTTCATAATCGCGAAGGTGTTTTTGACGTCTCGATTCATCATCAGCAACTAAGAGGCCGGCCGCTGGCCTCTTCCTTGATTTTCAACCATGCCTTGACGCAATCTCGGAAGGGACCGTCGGATGTTTCTGGAAGTTCCATGGATCCATCTGGATCTAGCATGGTTTCTGTGATCTCCTCCTCGACACAAGTGGCACAGAGTGGAAAAGTCAGTTTGCCATGCTGACGGAGTGGTAAGAAGGGGTGGTAGAGTTTTTCCGGTAGTAGCACTGTGCATTTGATCAACCCAGAGTACTCGTCGATGTCGGTGTGACCTCGCTGAGAGGAAATCTCGGGATGTCCAAACGGATACTGACCATTCTTGCGGGAAGCTCGAGGTGTATGCCTCAAGACCCTGTTACCAGCTCGTGCCTTTGGCTCTCGCTCAACTTTCTCAACTATGCGTATTCCATGGAAAATGCACATTACGCCCCTTAAGTTGCTTTACTAGTTAAACTTTGTTGTTGGCTGAATACCGACACTAAGTTGCTCGTTGAGCAAGTCTCCCCCAAAGGTTTTTTTAGACCAAGGTAGTACTTCCGCTCAAGGGTACAAATGCATCAGATAATCGATCACCGAAAAGTCATTTACGAACAATAAAAGAATACTAACTAGCTATTGGGAGTTTAGTGTGCCAATCCAAGTCTTGCTCCAGGCCACGCTGATATTAGAGTTGTGAAAGTTAGACAACTAACTTAAAGGTAAGATTATCAAGGTAAGTTTACCTTGATAATCTCTTGCTTAAAGGTAAATAAAGAACTAGAAAAAATCCCAGGTATTTGGTCGCACAGCGTTAGCCTTACAAAGGAAATGAAGGACCAAAAGAAGCTTTGACCTTTCCTGAAAAGTCCAAGATCCCATTAACTCTCCCTACATTTACATGAACATTTTGTCTACGATATTTACTTTCTCTTTGACAAGTATTTTTTATCATTTGTCCACATAATTGCGTTACGTGATGTATCATAGCAAAACCGCGTTTCCGTTTACAATGTTAAACAATAGGCTGATAATACTTCAAGTTCTACATTTCGTGGCTAGTTCCGAATTTCGTTTGAGTTCGTCTTTCCACCTATAAGATGGCGCTGTGCTCAAACAGGCGACGAAAGACTTTATTACGAATTCTTATTGTGCTTATTCCCGCTGCATTTTTCTTTGCCTGCCTTACATATATGAACGCAGAAGACGCAAAACACCGCGAGAATTTTAGCTATCAATATCCCCAACAAATAGACCGTGGCCAGGAAAGAGTAGATTTCAGCCAAGGGCGGAGAGATTTCCAAACGGAAAAATTCAACTCAAAGCAGCGTAGAAGAAACATTTTGGTAATTGCTCATGGTAGATCTGGCTCTACGATAACTGGAGATATATTTAACCACCATCCATCTGTATTCTACCTGTTCGAGCCGTTACAAACCGTGGAGAGAATTTTTAAAAAACTTGGCACCAGCGACGAACATTATGGAAGCCTCATGGCAGACATCTTATCGAACTTGCTGCGATGTAACTTTAGTAAACCGGTTCTCGAAGACTTTGATCACTTCTACCGATACCCGAGCCATCGTCAAGCGAGCCACGCGATTGGTTCGCCGCCTTTGTGTCCATATGAAATGAACGATCCCAAATGGGATCCAAAACTTTGTCCTCCGATGACGAGCGAATCTCTAGGAAGCATCTGCAGGGACAAGTACCCTGTCACCGTGGCAAAAATTCTCATGAGTCGCATCGCAGGAAACAACATTAAGAATATTTTGGAAGCGTGCAAGTCTTCGGATGCTGATTGCCAAATTATATTCCTCGTAAGAGACCCTCGGGCTGCCATCCCGTCATCTCAGAGTGTCGGTTTCTTCAGTAACCGCGGAAGCCAGCTGAGTAAAAATGGTCTTCGCCTCTATAGCTATCAGAAATGTAAGAAAACGGAGGAAAACTTGGTTTTTCTAAAGAACCTTCCCATCAGCAGGCGCAGACGTATCATGATACAGCGGTACGAAGATTTCGCAATGAACCCACTGAAGGTGCTGTCTCGCCTGTACAACTTTGCTGGGTTACCTGTGCTGGACAGCGTGAAAACATGGCTCAACAAATCAACGCACCCGGAGCAGACCCGAGAGAAGATGAAGATAGAGGGTCATGCAGCGTTTTTCACAGTGGATGACGCTTCAGTGGCTGTTAATCGCTGGCGGTGGAAGGTGGATCCGTGTGTTATTGACATCATTGAGCATTACTGTGAACAGGTGATGCAGATGATGGGGTATACTCTAGTCGACCGGTCATACGATTTAATGGCTAACATCAGTATTCCGCTGTTCAGTGAAGAGTACGAAGCAAAGAAATGGTTTATAAACTGATTGGCGCCGAACAGTGGATCGATAGATAGTTGATGCACTTTTTCATGCGTCAAGTGCGTCAGGCCAAAAAGAATAGTTACAATCAGTAGGTTTAACTACATACATTAAAAGTTAACAACTTACTGTTACAAACCCAGAATTAAGCAAAATGCTATGTACCCATTAAGTTAAAATAATAACATATGTAACCGAAGTTAAGGGCTATTTGAAAGAAAGGTGAATAGAAAGTGAAAGCTGTATAGACATTGGCCAGGTGGTTGGCATACACTTTACAAAAGTAGGTAAAATAATAAATAAACTCTGCAAAAGTCAATCCAGTGCCTGGTAACTTCTTGAATCTTCTGGGATTGCTGAAGCCGTAAGTGATCTAAAAACAACTTGAGAAAACACCTTAAGAATAAGGATTAACTTTCTTTCTTCGGTGATCTAGACGTCGACTGCACAGGCTTGCGTTAGTCAGTGTTGGCGACACTGTTCTTCACACGACGAATTTTCTTCAAGAGCTTTGGTGGGTCCCTATTGTTGGCCTCTGAAAACGCGGCTATGCATTAGCTTTGTAGTTATCTCGTGGTCTCATTGAGGCTAGGTTCTGTATTCTGACCGCTAAATTACAGCTTATTTTCTCTATTATATCATGTAATCGTTGCATATCATTTGTCATTCCACCCACGTTTCCTGTATTTCCACTGAAAGAATAATTCAGGACGGCCACTGCCGACTGGTGTTTCTCGTTTGTTTAGCTTTGTACTCAACACGACTAGGATTGCGTTGTTCTGCTCTATGACACTTAACAGTTTCCTGTCCTCTGAGTGCAAGGGTTATCGGAGCGCTTGCTTTGTCCCAGGAGCAATTAGAGAATTTACAGTATGACAAATTGTTTAGCTGAGCTGCCATGTGACTTATAGGTGTGCTGCTCATCGTATTTTTCAGTAGTCTTATTGGCCTCTTTAGGTAGGAAAACCTCGATCTGATGTTGAGACCTAATCAGAATAAACGATGACGTCGTCACGTCACGTGATGATTGATGGACGGGCGATGGTGGTTGTCATGAGACTGCAGGGTTGACACGCCAGAAGCGTCACGCAATAAGTCACACAAGAAAGATCTTTTTTAAACAACAAGGTAAAATTTAAAGCGTTTTTCCTAGATGTACATGACGGGACGTTTGTTGCAGTCCCGGTGACCAGCACCCTACGTCTCCAAAAAGTAGTTGCAAATCAAGTAACAGTTTTGCCATGTCTCTGTCATCGGGCGTGCAACGAAAGTACTCGTACGGGTAGGTCTTGCAGGTCTCGGGGTCCACCATACGTTTATTGAAGACCATTTGGCATATTTTAGTCTGTGGTCTTGTCTCGAGAGCATAGCGTTTGGCGTCCCTGACGATGTGAAAGGTTTTCTTGACATCGGTTTTACGACTCCAAGTCTGCAACGGTTCTTGAATGTCGTCGAAAACATTTTGGAGTAGCACTTGGTAGTTGAGTAGCCACACCCCTCCGCTGTTTAATGAGATGCCACCGACTTTGCACACCTCTTTACCGTTTTTGGTTACTTACACGTAATTCGTCAGACCTCCGGACGAGAATGCGACGATGTAATAGCCGCTTCACAATTCATCCTTGAAATCCCCCAGATAGTCGCTTAAGAGAGGATCTGGCAGCTCAAGGCAATGGATGAAAACGACGCTGTCCGTATCAAACTAGACTATGCGCTCTTGCAGGAGATCGAGAGTCTCGTACAGGCGGAGACGGACCCAACAAGTGGTGAAACAAGTGACGAAGATGTTAAATTAGGCTAGACAGGATCGTCCTCTCTCTGATGCTTGTACTGGATTCCTACCCTATTCTTGGTTAAAACGCTGAAGTACCGAATGTCAATTCGGTCGCTCTCGTAGAACTTGTTAAAGTCGATAGGGTTGTCGAATTCCTTAACGCGAGTCACGTTGGAACGCTGACCAAACTTTTCCCAAATAGCGTTTAGCATCATCTTGGCCAAGGCACGGAGATCAGGGTTCAGGGTTCAGACTAATAATCTTGGTAGCCGGGTCCAAGCAAATCCTTCCTCGGGCTTCATAATCGCGAAGGTGTTTTTGACGTCTCGATTCATCATCAGCAACTAAGAGGCCGGCCGCTGGCCTCTTCCTTGATTTTCAACCATGCCTTGACGCAATCTCGGAAGGGACCGTCGGATGTTTCTGGAAGTTCCATGGATCCATCTGGATCTAGCATGGTTTCTGTGATCTCCTCCTCGACACAAGTGGCACAGAGTGGAAAAGTCAGTTTGCCATGCTGACGGAGTGGTAAGAAGGGGTGGTAGAGTTTTTCCGGTAGTAGCACTGTGCATTTGATCAACCCAGAGTACTCGTCGATGTCGGTGTGACCTCGCTGAGAGGAAATCTCGGGATGTCCAAACGGATACTGACCATTCTTGCTGACCCAAGGATGCAACGACGTGAAATCGTAGTATCTCAGTTCTTCTCCGTTTTCTACGTCGTCACAATTGTACAATTTGACAGCGTTTGTGCGACCACCACAGAAAGCGTCTCGTGGGTCCAGAGCCACGTCCTTTCGCCCCTTTTTCAGCTGCGCCCACTCGCATTTCCAGATGACCAGTACGTTTTAGCCCTTATTTCTCAGGAACGGCAGTTTTTCCACGCTACCTTGGTAGACCTCCTCCACTGTACGGTCTTCCAGACGACGGTGGTGATCATTACGATAGCACTTAGCGCAACCTTGCCAGAAGCAGCCTTGGAACTCGATCATACACGGCGTTGGTGAGTTCGTGGTAACCGTTCACAGTATAACGGAAGCCCGAGAGGGAATTTGCTTCGACCCGCCTACCTAGATTCAGAAGAACCCTGGTCTCCGCGCCTTGGCCACGACGATGCTAAACTCCATGTGGGAAAAGTTTGGTCAACTTCCCAACAAGACTCGCGTTAAGGAAATCGACAACCCAGTTGACTTAAACAAGTTCCATGAGAGCCACTGATTTGGCATTCAGTACGTCAGCGTTTTAACCAAGGAGAGGGTAGAAATCCAGTACAAGCATCAGACAGAGGACGATCCTGTCTTCACTATCCTCTGAATCATTTCGCTCATTTTCCGTTTCCGTGTATCCGAGGGCGGCGCTGGATCAGAATCGCCGCGGGTTTTTTCTTTTTTTTGATTTGCTTTAGTTTTCTGTAATTGTTTGTAAACGTTCCCATGTCAATTACTAATCGGGTTCGATTTACCAGCGGTGTTCGTTTCTCTTCTTAGATTTGGTTCTTCGCAATTCGCTGTCGGGATCACTCATGTTTTCAACTTTTAAGGCGATACGTGGGCACCTTTGTAATCGCCAGGAATCGATTGGCGTACAATCTTCTAGTGAACCGCTTTCGCTCCCTGTTGTTGGTCCACAAAGAAATTGCTGAGCTAGTAAACTTGCTTTAACAATGGATGGTCCTTCTTTTAGATCAATTGGAATTTGGAGTGTTGTTTTTTTGCGGAGGAAGGAAAACCGGAGAGCCTGGAGAAAAAATCTCGGAGCAAGGCGAGAACAAACAACAAAATCAACCCAATATAGCACCGGGCCGGAATCGACCCCGGACCAAATTGGTGGGAGGCGAGCGCTCTCACCACTGCGCCATCCCTGCTCCCCATATTGGGTCTCGGTTGGTACTGTGGGCTGGATCTGGATTGAAAAATGTCGTGGAAATTGCTCTTGGCTCTTCGAGATGTGATTCACTGTAACCTTGAAAGTTTGTTTGAGGCCGCTGAGGAGTACCTCTGAATGAATTTGGAAAATTAAAAAAATCATGTAAATTTGATAGTTAATTTGAGACTCTTGTCAACGTAACCGGACTACGTTGCCGTATCCATAGCAGAACCGAGTTTCTCTTTACGGTGTTAAACAATAGGATAGTACTTTCTGCATTAATTTGCTAGTCTGCTGGTGTTCCCCTTTTAATCTACATGATGGCGCTGTGCCCAAGCAGGCGGCGAAGGACCTTATTACGAATTCTTATTATTGTGACTACTCCCACTACATTTCTCTTTGCACGCATGAACACAGAACACCAAGAGAATTTTAGCCAATATCTCCAACGAATGGACCATGGCCAGGAAAGTGTAGAGTCTCAAAGGCGGAGAGATTTCCAACTGCGAACTTCAGTTCAAAGCAACGTAGAAGAAACATTTTGATCATAGCTCACGGTAGATCTGGCTCTATGATAACTGGAGATATCTTTAACCACCATCCATTCGTATTTTATCTGCACAAGCGTGCAAGTCTTCAGATGCTGATTGCCAAATTACTTTTCTCGTAAGAGACCCTCGGGCTCTCATCCCGCCATCTCAGAGTGTCGGTTTTTTCAGTAACCGCGGAAGCCAGCTGAGTAAAAATGGTCTTCGCCTCTATAGCTATCAGAAATGTAAGCAAACGGAGGTAAAACTTGGTTTTTCTAAAAAAATCTTCCCATCAGCTGGCACAGACGTAACATGATCCAGCGGTACTAAGATTTGCAATGAACCCACTGAAGGTAATGCCTCACCTGTACAACTTTGCTGAGTTACCTGTGCTGGACAGCGTAAAAACATGGCTCAACAAACCAACCCAGAAAAAAATCGCGCATGAGGGCCAGTGAGCTTTTTCGCCTCCTAACTCGTAGAAGGTGATTCTCCAACCTGTTGAGAGTCTCGGACTCTTTTCACACGACACCCTCCGATCGACAATTTCTGCGAAGAAAATGAAGCCAGCGACAAAGAACGGAATTCTATAATATTCTTTACCTTTCTGTAGCATGGTTCACACAGTTTCATTGGTAAACCATCGCCAAACGTAATTTCTTACCCAGTTAAAAACTCAAGCACTTTTAAATTGTCCGGCACTTTGCTGCTTTTCTCGCCAAAAATATCAACCGGGGTTTCTAACAAAACCGTTTTGTTGTAACAGCGACAAGAATTGAACCGGAGTAAACACCATTTTTGGGAGAATTTTCTCCCAAATCCTCCATGTCCTCCATTTTTAAACACGGCTGGTAAAAGCTGTTTTATACTTTTGCGCCAGCAGTCCACGGGAACATTTCGACTTTAGTTCAAGATTTCTTCGTTTTCAAACAGCCAATCAAAAAATTCGAATAATTCCGAAAATCCTATGTCTCCAGAGCCCTTCGATTCTCTTGCCAAGGCCCCGGCGGTAAGAGAAGCGAAAAGGGCAATGGGGACAAGAATCAGAGTGGCGAATAGCGAATAGTGGCAAATGGGAGGGGATGAAGTGACGAATGACAGAAATTTAGTGCCTAGAACCTCGCAGTCAACTTCACAGCAACGTGGGATGGAATTTTCCTGCTAAAAAGCACAGATACTTTTTCGCTCTCTCGAGTGTTCTCAAATGCCCGGAGTGTTTTATCACAGTGTAATACACGGCTTGGGCTTCTTAATTTGCTCTATGATATAGAGGTAATGTGGCGAAAAACAATACAGCACGCTTTTTCTGTGTTTCGACCAATCAGAGGGCGTGCAGGGTCCTATTTATATTTTAGTATCACCCAACTCGTGGACTAATGCAAATCCTGCATTTTAATTGGCTACGCTACTAGAGGACTATTAGTAATAGTCCTCGAGTAGCGAAATTGGCGCAATCGAGCGTGACGCTTTCTTTCGTTCTATTCCCAAATAAATACTTCTTCAACTTGTATTTGCTAACTTTATTATTGCCATTTCTGTCCGACCAGTTGGGGGTGATACTAAAACAATTATACCCTTCGCCCTCAATGGCCACGGGTCAATAGCCCATTCGGCTTCGCCTCATGGGCTATTGACACGTAGCCCTTGCGGGCTACAGGTCTAATTGTTAAATAATACTTGTTATATATTTTGTCTTCGTTTTCTCTCGTAACAATAACAGTGCCCGCCATTTTTTTTCTTTTTTTCTTTTGTTATTCCGGCCTTTTATGTATTTTTTAGATCTTTGAGAATGGTGAGAATGAGAACCTGCACGGACGCAATTTTTTTCTGAATACAGCCCCTCCGAAGATGTCAGGATTTTCACAACTCGCTAGCTTTATGAGTCAAATTATTAGCCAATAGAAATTGAGAAAAACTTCAACAAACATGAAAGCAATTTGCACGTGGAGTGTCTAGTTTTAGTTATGCAAATAGCACTGTCTTGTGTTTTGCCGCTCGCGACATTGGACAAATCTTTGACATCCGCAGCACAATCTAAGCCAAGTGATTTTCCGCTCCTTTACTTGATCCTGAATCATGCTGGGCAGCGGGCACCAACACCACAGCTTGTTGTAGCCATCAATGTGCCAAGCATAGTTAGGCCCAGGATTTTGATATATACATTCTCCTTTTTCAAACAATGCTTTCTGCGTAGTTCAGTTCCTTCTGGGTCCATCTCTTTTAACAAATGGAATTTCTGGCGTTTGAGTGAATACGTTCGGCACGAGAACAGTGGAGACTGGGGATAGCCCAGTCGAATGAGTATGTGCATGAGGGAGGGCTATATAAGAGATGAATATCACGTGGGATATCATTCTAGGCCGACACCTCGGATGAGATAACGTTATTTTTATTGATTTTATTTTACTTTATTACTTTTTTTAGGGCATTTACTTCTAAGTATATCGTCCCTTGTGTAGCCTCGTACAATGGGCTATTTAGAGCTTGAGCCATGATTCCTACCCAGATTTCCTGCCGAATTCTTTTTTCCCCACCGGGTTTTTTTTTTCCGGCAGGTTTTTTTCTGGCCTCCGTCTGACAGTGCTATCTTCGTAAACTGTCGCTCAGCTCTGTATCATCTCATGTATCGCATACGTGGATGTAATAAGAGGTTGTAGTATAACGTATTGTTATAGTTCCCGGTGCTCGGCCGAAACCACCCAAATAAACCTAATGGTTTTGCTCACATTGTTTACTGTGTAGTGGAGCTGAAATATCTGGGAACCCGGAGCCCTTCTATTTCAAGGATATGCCAAATAGAACGATACCCCACGGTCCTGCAAGGACCACTAAAGAGTTCAGTAATGCGTCTTTGTACTTACAAAAATGTATCATTAAAGGTTTCTTCATTTACCACACCTCGCCCCTTCAAACCATAACTCATTTGACACTGATAACGACTGCAAAGACTTGGTAACTAAACCCGCAATGAAAGTAGTACTTTAGAATTTCCTCTTCATCAAAGCTTCCTTCCAATTCATCAGGGTCTCTCCCTGACCCATCTGAAAGTCATGATACACATTTTTAGCGCTAACCCAGGATTAAAAGTTAACCGAAGTACAAATTTTTCCTGCATAAAAATGTTTTTCATTGCTTATGTTTTGTTTAGTTTGAGGTTATTCAAACTCAAAAGAGAATGACAAACAATATAAACAGAAAACCTCACCGCAAAATTACAAAACTTGAATCAAATTTCTCACAAGCTTATCCTGGGTTAGCTTAATCGGACTTTCAACAACCCGGCCCAGGAGCTCCGCTTTTAGGCTTGGCTAAATCTATATATTATTTGATGCGACGATTTGTATTTGATGGGACGATTTGTATTTGATTTGTATTTTTTGTATTTGATGTGAGCGAGTTGTATATTTTCTTTCATGATGTGAGAAATTACAATTTGACGCGAGTAATTTTAATTTTACGTGAGTAATTTCAATTTGATGTGAGTAATTTTAATTTGATGTAAGTAATTTCAATTTGACGCGAGTAATTTTAATTTGATGTGAGTAATTTTAATTTGATGTGAGTAATTTTAATTTGATGTGAGTAATTCTAATTTGATGTGAGCAAGGTTATTTCACTGTTTTCTCCTACCACCTCCAGATCAAGTTAAAACATTTTCTTATTCAAAAAATAGACGTTGGTAAGAAGCAAGCTCTCTCTTAATCGTTACAACCGAAAAAAAAAAAAAGAAAACGCAGGTTTGGAGGAAGTTTAAAGAAGAGTCACATGATATGGACATGCCTTTGACGTGTTTGATGCCGTGTCAAAGGCAAGGTAAACGTGTCAATATCCTGTTTGATGGTTAATTTGAGATTGTTTGTCTACGTGGTTACTTTGTACCCACAGTAAAATCAAGTTTCTCTTTACAACGTTAAAAAATAGGGTAATACTTTCCACAGTGGGTATTTCCGTATTTCGTTTGAGTTCCTATTTCCGCCTACAAGATGGCACTGCGTTCAAGCAGGCGGCGAAGGACTTTATTACGAATTCTTATTGTGCTTATTCCCACTGCTTTTCTGCTTGCACGTATATACACAGAACACCGCGAGAATTGCAGCTATCAATATCCCCAACAAATAGACCGCGGCCAGGAAAGTGTAGATTTCAGCCAAGGGCGGAGAGATTTCCAAACGGAAAAATTCAACTCAAAGCAGCGTAGAAGAAACATTTTGGTAATTGCTCATGGTAGATCTGGCTCTACTATAACTGGAGATATATTTAACCACCATCCATCTGTATTCTACCTGTTCGAGCCGTTACAAACCGTGGAGAGAATTTTTAAAAAACTTGGCACCAGCGACGAACATTATGGAAGCCTCATGGCAGACATCTTATCGAACTTGCTGCGATGTAACTTTAGTAAACCGGTTCTCGAAGACTTTGATCACTTCTACCGATACCCGAGCCATCGTCAAGCGAGCCACGCGATTGGTTCGCCGCCTTTGTGTCCATATGAAATGAACGATCCCAAATGGGATCCAAAACTTTGTCCTCCGATGACGAGCGAATCTCTAGGAAGCATCTGCAGGGACAAGTACCCTGTCACCGTGGCAAAAATTCTCATGAGTCGCATCGCAGGAAACAACATTAAGAATATTTTGGAAGCGTGCAAGTCTTCGGATGCTGATTGCCAAATTATATTCCTCGTAAGAGACCCTCGGGCTGCCATCCCGTCATCTCAGAGTGTCGGTTTCTTCAGTAACCGCGGAAGCCAGCTGAGTAAAAATGGTCTTCGCCTCTATAGCTATCAGAAATGTAAGAAAACGGAGGAAAACTTGGTTTTTCTAAAGAACCTTCCCATCAGCAGGCGCAGACGTATCATGATACAGCGGTACGAAGATTTCGCAATGAACCCACTGAAGGTGCTGTCTCGCCTGTACAACTTTGCTGGGTTACCTGTGCTGGACAGCGTGAAAACATGGCTCAACAAATCAACGCACCCGGTGCAGGACCCAGAGAAAATGAAGATAGAGGGTCACCCGGTCTTTCACACAGTGGATGACGCTTCAGTGGCTGTCAATCGTTGGCGGTGGAAGGTGGATCCGTGTGATATTGATATCATTGAGCATTACTGTAAACAAGTGATGCAGATGATGGGGTATACTCTAGTCGACCGGTCATACGATTTAATGGCTAACATCAGTATTCCGCTGTTCAATGAAGAATACGAAGCAAAGAAATGGTTTCTAAACTGACTGGCGCCGAGGAATGGATCGATAGATAGTTGATGCACTTTTTCATGCATCAAATGCATAGATCAAGCCAAAAATAAAAAAATAGATCATTGAAAAGTTAGCAATTTACTTTTTACTGATACAAACCCAGAATTAAGTAAAAGCCGTGTATCCATTAAGTTAAAACAATACTGAGATATGTAATCGAAGTTAAGGGCTATTCGGCAAGAAAGGTGAATAAAAACTGTACAGACATTGGCCATGTGGTTGGCATAAGCTTTAGAAATGAAGGTAAAATTATAATAAATAAACTCTGCAAAGGTCGATCCATTGCCTAGCTGTCGACTTCTTGAATCGTCTGGGATTGCTGAAGCCGGAGTGATCTAAACGTAACTTAACGACACACCTTAAGAATAAGGCTTATACGGGGGATGAACTCTCTTAGCCCTCATTCTCTCTTGTCCATGGTTATTGACGTTCTCATGTCTTTCATGAGACCGCCCCCTTTTATCTATGTAGCTTAGAAAGTTTGATGATGCCGGACTGGGGAAATTTGCATTATTACAAAAAAAGGCTACTCGGACATATGAAGTCATAAAATTATTCTCTTGTTATTCAGAACCATCAAAGTCTCAGACTGTCAAAAGTTTCAAATTCCTGACATTTGTCAAAACAACAATGATTGAGCCGTAGTAGCAGACTGGTATCACATATTATAGCTTACTATGTTAAAAAAAAAAATCTTCAGGAAACAGTAACTTGAGAGAAGAAAACTGAACATCTTGAAACATTTTTCAAAAAAAGAGTTAGAAGTTGGGTTTTTATAATGCATCAAAACTGTACTAAGCCACCTTAAACTACTTGTATAGCCTGATTCTCAGACGTCCGAGAAACGGGAAGCGAAGGGGCCGCGAACGACCTCGGACGTCTGAGAATCAGGCTACCTTAATCCATACAGTACTCCTTATTTAAAGTCCCAATAACATTCGGGTTAGCCTGTTTACGGTAGACCCCTCATGTCAGTTTTAGACCTGCAGAAAGAATGTCTGAGTTAGCTTGATACGCAAACAAAATTTGGCAGCGTTCAGGTTTCCCAGCAATAACGCCTACTTATCATATTTTAGAAATAAGGAGCACGCAACTACACATGGAAGTCAAACAAGCAATGCTGCAGTGCTGCGCAAGAACAGAACCTTACATCAAATACATAGTGATCGAGTGACTTACCGCTGGTCAAATGGAACGAAATCATCAGGAAGTAGTGTATTATGGGATACTAACCTTTACTTCATGTGCGTCGCCATCTTGTAGTATTTCTTGAGCAATGTTCATGTTAAGTGTGTGAAAAGAACGTTGCCAGCAACGCAAAAGAATTATCGAAAATGTACAACAATATTGGCTTGCAGACGGCCCGTGGCTCGGGAACAAATGGTTATGTTCAACGGAACTTATCTTTGTTACGTAGCAGGAAAGAAAAAGTCGAGTACCATACGAATGAAGACCTCGCCAAACTAGAACAGATGAACACGAAAAAACCCAACCAAGAGATCTTGGAGCACGAAAGAAAGCGACAGATTGAACTCAAGTGTATGGAACTGCAAGATCTCATGGAAGAGCAGGGGTCAGTTTAACATTAACGTTGCTCTGAAAGTTGCTTATACATGTATATTAATACAAGTGGCCAACAAATGGAAAGTGACATAAACAAAGTTTCTGGCATTAACAAGGAGTCTGTAGTCGGTGGATTTCTTTGAGGGAATATGTATAGGGGCTAATCGACTTCAGGTTGAGGGTTCATTGATTTGGGGGCTAAACGACAGGATACCTGTATGTATGGGTCCAGAAGGCTGTCAATGAATGCTGGCATTAAACATATGTATTTAGAGCGATTGGTTACGTTTAGACTAAACTTCTGGAGACACATTTCTTTTGAAAATTGTAATTTTTTTTAATAATAACTATTAAAGAATTTTACAAGGTAAGAAAGAAAATGTGTCTACAGATACTTTGTTCAAACATAAGGAGTCCCTGCACTATTTTCTCTTTGAATATATTCAGTGTGTCACAAGTAAGAAACAGAAAACATTTTCCATATTTGCTCAAGTCATGTAAAGTCTGAAGGGAAATTTGGGACAACAAGAAACAAGCTGTTTTAACAGCTTTTTTGAGTTGTCCCAAACTTAAACAAGGGTTTCTATTGAACGTGCAGATTATGAGCTCGAGACTCTATGAATGATAGTTCATGTAGCCTGCGAGAGCATCCGTTTTTTGGCTCTTGTCATGTGAACCCCAAAAATACTGGATGCTCTCACAGATGTAGTTCATGAGATTGAAGACCAAAAAACAAAATGGTGTCTCCAAACTGTAGTTTTCTAAGTGTGGCTGTGTATATAGCCATGGACATAGACATAGCAATCTTAGGCAATTCTTTCCAAGGGGGAAAGGTGCAATGAGGTTAACCCTATGTAAATGATCAACTCATGAGACAAGGCCAAACCACAACACCAGGAATTCCGTGCCGTACTCTACTGTAGTCACCTGAATGTGGTAGAATGATTATTACTGAATGTACTTTACATTACTTTACAGATGAGATTCTCTTTGTTTCTCTCGTCAAATTTAGATACACTGACAGTGAAATTGAAAGCAAGGTGGAGGAGCTGCGAAATATCCTTTCTGAACAAGCAGGCATTGCATCTAAAGACAATAAAGAAGGAAAATCCACGTATGTGCAACTTGTATTCTAATGTTCATGTATTTTGCTATTTGTTTCAGGAAGATTCTGAGGTAAGAAGGGATACTGATATTATACTGAAATGAAGTAACAATTTTCTCTTGTATGCCATAAAGTCACTGGGTGATATTTTTAAACCTTGTTCTTTGTTAAATAGTTTGATACTGTATTCTACAAGTTTGTACTGACATTGGGAAATGCACAGTGTTATGTGTTTTGATGATTTGACGTTATTTTGTTTGTATTAATCTTGTAGCAATTCAGTATTAATACTGGTTATTTTCCAAAAATCACATAGTGTTTAATAATGGTAAAGAAATGTTTGAATATACTTTTTGTGGTATATGTACACTTACTACAGTTAAGTTTTCAGGTTATTTTCTTATGTGTGATATACAGTTTCCATTTTACAATACTATTTTAATAAGGGCTGTCTTTGGTTTGAATGACTGCCTGTTGCTACCTACATACTTCATTTTGTTTGCCTGTCTGTCTTGCTGTCTGTCTGTCTGACTGTGCCATCACACTGACTTTTTCCTTTTGTACTTATATAATCTCACTTGTTTTCAGTTTTACTAGGGGAAAGGTAAGATTTAAGAGGTTTAAGTGGGTTTTTTCTGCCATTAATCATAATTAAGATGACAATCAATGAACCTCAAAAAAAATTGAAATAGATCAAAGTCTACCAGCCCATTGAAGTGAACTTCTGTTTCTAGAGAGGTCTGCTAAGGTGATTGACATTATTGAAATATTCAATCATTGATGATTCGGAGTTCATGGGATATTAAAGTTGTAGTAGAAACTCAAGAGAATTTTAGCAAGAAACACTAAGCCGTGCCTCATACATGTATTTCTCCATGAACTTCTCATGTTCTTTGAAATATCTGCCTGATGTAATGTAACTTAACAATGCAGTCAGGCACATCAGGCTATTTCTTTTAATAATTATTGATGTTGGGAGAATGTGGTTTTCATCCAAGACTGCATCCTTGCAAAGTCAGGTTCTTACCATAATTTGTTAGAAACAAAAGTTGGTGAAGTTGGTTACGTGCAGTGTACTGTACATGTATTACTCCTGGATAATTAAAGGCTTCGACTTAACAAGGAATTTTCCTTTTTAGAATGGTTTGAAGATCTGTTCCAAAACAAGGTGTTTTTTTTTTTCAAAATGACTTTCATTACATTAAAATGTTATTGTTGATGTCAATATTTAATTTTAGTGTTACGGAAACACATCAAATGGCTGAAGCAAATGAAGAGAAGAATGCTAAAATGAAAGAAGCTCTTGGAATCAAGAAAGATTACAAAGATGGTTCGTCATTTGACCAGGAATTAAAGGCAGCTCAAAGAGCAGCGACGCAGTTGGCTTGGGAAGCCAAACAGAAAGAACTGGAAGAGCAAAAAGAAAAAGAAGAGATCAAAAGGTGAGGGTTTAACTCATACTTACTTGTTTGACCTCATTGTCTTGTAGTGATGTACACTATTGCCAATTGATGAAGCTTTGGTTAAGTCACATCTCACCACCAGTTAAAAAGGTTCTGTGTGATTTGACGAATATAATCTCTTAAGTTTGGAGTTGGAATCGAAATGGTAGGATTGCACGCATGTTGCTGTGTCAGAAAATCAATCACAAAATTTATCGAAAGGCAGCAGTACTTTCAAATGTTCGTCAACTACATGTATTTGCTCACAAGCACAATATGAACCTGTGTGCATGTACATGTACCATCAAATCCTCTGACATTATTTAGCACCATGTATTGAGACCAGTTTATTTCCACTTAGTGTGTTTTCTTTTGCCATTATATCTTGTGACTGTCATGTGAGTGGTAATCGTACAGTATGTACATGTATTGTATGCAAGTGAAGCCTAGTGGCCAACTGGGGGTTGTAATGGTCATTTCTTTGGACTGTGTTGTAAGTGGTTCAGGGCCATTGTGTTGTGTTGTTAGAGGAGGCACTCCATTCTTATAGTACCTCTTTCCACCCAGGGTTATTTATTGTAGGATGAGGGGCTAGTTTGTTAGGGAATACAATTACCAGTGGTCCTACTCACAAATCATTAGAAATGAGCAAAAAACTCACTGACACTGACACTATGACGACAAACTAAATGCTCGTACTCACATCCTGCTAATAATATTGGGACAAAGCTTTGGCAGTGTGTGTCACTTGTGCTTGAGTCCACATTTTACCTTTTACAGCTGTGTTGCACTAGGAAACAAAAAAATACAATGTACTTAATTACTGCTGGAGTTGACAACAAATGATTGAGATCAGTTTCAATTCAGTTTTTAGAAGTTCATTTAAAACTAATAAGTCTTGAAGTGCCAGGGAAATAGAACATCATTCAACATTACTTGGGAAGTGAGGAAACACCTTGATTAGTTTTAGTTCACCCGAAGCAAAAAGGTACAGGGTATAATGTTTATCACATGGCTGTGGCCTGCTGAATGTTTGGTTCCATGAAAAGAGTAATTCAGTAGGTCTATGAGGAAAGTGAACTTTCAAGATTCATGCATGCTGTCATTGAAAATGAGGGACCAGTAGAAATTTTTTTGTGTTTGTAGATTGGCACCAGTATACTGTATTTTTTTTTTTTACGTTATGTCCCATGCTTTGTTTTACCTGTCATGTCTCTGAAAATCAGCTAGATTTAAAGAACCACTTAGAAAACTGTCAGGAACCTGTCAACATAAGTGCAATAACACCCAGTTGATGGGGGGTAAGGTGGGCAAACTGCAAAGTCTTTGCTGAGCAAATTGAAATAAAATAAAACATTTCAGCAATGTTGCTCACTACTGTAGCAGCACTGTCAAAATGGGTCAGAAGCTGGCAATCATGCCAACTACATGTCCTGTAAATTATTTGGTACCTTCCTCACACTGGAGGTAACCAATCCAAACTAATAACAAAGACAACTCTGATCGTAATTGCCTGTTACATGTACTTCAGTCTTTTATTCTCCCTGCTCTTACAGTAGTTGTTAGTCTTTGGGTTCAATGGTTTTTTATTGTTTTCTCTGCAAAGAGCATTTCAAATTGTGTGGCCATAGAGAGAGAGTACAACTAATTGTAGTCCTTATCTTTGTAAATTTTTGTTTAAAAATTAACTTGAACACAAATGACTAGAACAATGTCAGTCTTGATCCAGGAGTATTCATACTTAAATGTAGAACTTAAACAATTTCATTAGTTAAATATGAGCGCATATGTATTAGTCAAAATAGAAAGTAATAATTTTTGTAACTTATTATTTTGGTTTGTCCATGGCTTGTTTATGTAATACTGTATAATTGTATTTTAATTGAGAACTATTTGTGGGTGAGTGAACAGTAGCTTTTATTTAAAATGTGTATCATTAATAGCAATTTTTCAAGGAAACCAAACATTCAGGGGTCATATTTTAATAATTATATTTAATTGCATGTAACAAAAATTGAGAAGGAATTTTTTACCATTAACCAGTCACAAATTCAAAGTCTAAATAATGTTCTTGATTTTCTATTTCCCAACACTGTATCTAGACTATTTGCTTGTTTGTTCTCAAGTTTCATTTTGGCTTGATACAGGTAAGGCCAGTGGTCTTGAGATTTACTCTTATTTATTTTGCAGCTAGACCTGTAAGATTAATTATTAACTAAGTGTAGTAATAACATTGTTAGGGGCTGTTGTTGGTCGATGTATCTTGTCTTTATTTTTCAGTTATTAAATGTAGTGTTACTACTTGGTGGAAAAGAACAGAATTTTCTTTCATTTTAATTTAAATGCATGTGGATTTACATTGTAAAATAAATGTAAAATCGTCAAAAGAAACATTGTAAAGCAGCAAGTGGATGTTATTTAGGTGAACATTGTTACAAAATGGAGCAGCCGTACAGTAAGGCCTAACTAATTATTTTACTGACTTGAGATGCATTTGTTTGCCTTTTGTTTGCTAACTGTCTTCTCTTTACAGTGCAAAGGAGGAGTCGCCCCCAAAGAAGAAAAAAAGAAAGCGTACTCCTGCATCTGAGTCATCAGGTGAAGGGAGTAACTCAGACAGGTAGGATGCCTTTGGCATGAAATTCAAAGTAAAAAAGTTGGGAGTTACTCAAGAATAAAAGCGATGAGGAGATGTCTTTTTATGTCCAGATAAGTCCAGCATTGAACACTAATGAGATTCAAATTCCTTATGAAAAGCATCACATTTAGTGTCCTCATTAGTGAAAAGTCACCAAAACACACACAATTCTGTCAAATATGAAGTAATATGAAAATGGCAACCCTGCCAAATATGAAGTACTAATTAAACAATACTTGCATTCAATCCTGGACATAAGTGTTTAGGTCATGAAATTGGTCACTGATATATACATGTATTTAGTTTCGTAAACCATCTACTGTATTTTCTGGGTTTTTTTTCCTTTTTCCTTTCCTTATTTTCCTTTTCTTCCCTTCTTCCTTCTCTTTGCTTCTGTTTTCAAGGATGGAGGCAGTCATCATGGCTTTCACACTTCCTCATCTCTTCTATTCTTGAATAACCTCTTAGGGGAAAAGGACAAATTAAAAAGCATGTCCAATTCCCATTTGCTCAGAAACAAAAACAAACAAACAAACAAGCCAAAAACCTTGCTAAGCAAAGTGATTTAGGTCAATTGCAGGTATTGCACATGGTGTCATAGTGATGCATGTCTTGACTTGACCTTTGGCATATTGTAATCTTTGATGATGGATAGGAGTTTTGTGGAAAGCAGAGGAGCAGTCTAACAGTGCAAAGAGGTCTGACATTACCATTGATCGGTGCTAATGAAACAGAAATCAGGAAGCTAAAATCTTGACATGAAATCCAAAGAAACTGTGAAATAATTGTTCCAGAGTTAGAAAAATATGCAAACAACTGCGGAACTGAGACAAGAACAAAATGAGAACTTCTATTCTTTTTTTAAAAAACGTTTTTGCATTGAATGGGAAAGACAGCATGAAAAGCCTTAAGTGAGTTCCAGTTAACATAACTATAGCCATTTTACCACCCCATGGAAATTTCTGCAAAGCAAGTTAAGTTTTTGGTTAATTTTAATGGTTATTTGTGTTAGCTTGCTGCAAACTTTATTTGTGAGAGTACAGCATAATCTGTAAGCAGCATAGTGCTCAAAGTTACAAGAATGGGTCTTGCTGCCCACATGCATGACAAGCACATTGCACCTTTGGTTATCTTAATAAGCTCTAGGTTGCCTGACAAAATACTATTACATGTTTCATAAAAAATCAGAACTTGATGTTGCGACCACTGAGGTAGGCAATGTAACCAAATTTTTTTCACTGGCAACTAACTTTCCATGCTGGCGACTAAATCTGAAAACTTAGAGGCCAGCTGCCCCCAAGGTTTTTTCCTGAAAGTCGAGCCCTGCAAATGGGTTGCTGTATAATCATTAAAGGTGCATTTTGAAACATATTTGTTACCTATGGTCAAGTCTCTGACTTCTCTTAAATGCTCAATGCTATTTAGAAAATCAATTTCGGGATCTGCCGATCTTGGCTGTTCTGCTTTTGTTTATTGTTACATGTACACATCTGTGCAGAGTTGACGCATGTTTTATTGCTCTGTTAGAGCCTGTCTTCAAATGAAGTGTACACATGTAGGTAACGTGTAGGCTACTTATCGTATTAGTCTTCTCGGAGCCAGGGTGGCCAAGTGGTTGAGATGCCAGACTTGAAATCCAGAGGTCACAGGTTCAAGTCGCATTCTGACCACAAAGTGGTGTTGTTCTCGGTAGCCCTGAGTTCAACTCCTCTGCCACTCTTGCTGTGCCTCCTGCCAGTTGGGATTTTAATCATGTTATGTTCATTTCCATTATTTGTTCAAATGCTTGTTTTTATTGACCCTGAAAAGCCCCATTGGGGGAGTGGTCTATCGGTAACTTTTTTTTGAAGTCGTCTGTTCGTGAGCAAGAGTTCTTAACTCTAGTACCGTAAATACGTTTTATACACTAATTCCAAATAGATCAATCAGATCACTTAGCATGGCCACCTGTTACTACAAATATATTTTACCTAATTGGAAGGTAGTCTATAAACACAATACTTAATATTCTTCGTGTTTTTGTAATGTCAGTATTGTTTCCTTGTTGCAGCTCTGAAGAAGATGGTGAAAATGATTCTTCACCTTCCCGGCGTAAAACTCAGAAAAAACGAAAACAACGGACACCAAAAGAAAGGTAACTTCACTGCAGATCAGTCTCATCTGCGGTGAAGACATTCGTGTATAGATGTGCAAAGATGTACAATTCATGTTATGATCATGTTTTAATTTTCAGTCCATGACAGATTGAGATGATGTATTGTAAGTACTTTGTAGGAAAGATGAGATTGGGAAGTTGGCAGATACGTTTAAATCTCACACACACACACACACACACACACACACATAAAACTGATTAATATGTTTAGGTGTAAACAGGTAAGGCAAAAGTCATCACTGACTGACATGGCAATTTGGCTGTATCGACCAAAGTGTATCAGCATCATATACATGTTCATACAGTGTATTTGTTGGCTTAATTCCCCTCTGGTGGACAGTGAATACACTGTGAGTGTTTCATAACTAACAGAATGTTTCTTTTTGTTTTTCTCTTCAATTTTCTCTTCAAATGTTCATAGTTCATCAGAGTCGGAGACAGATAAAAGAAAATCAAAGAAGACAAAAGGAGAGAAAGAAAAAAGGTGCGTAAAAGTAGGATTCTACAGGAGAAAGCAGTTTACTAGCTTTCTGTTATTTCTGTCATTTCAAGGTAAGGTTTTTCATTGTTTTAGTCATGCTCGCCAAGTTGCTTTCAGTTCTACAGTCATACGTTAAAGCCTGCAGGTAAGTATAACGATAGAGCTGATTTAACGTTATGTACAGTAACTCAACGTTTTTACCTTGTGCTGTTGTAACTTATATACGTATTTAAAAAAAGAAGTAGAACTGTTACTTTTAGGGTTATGTTGTTGATAGCGTGACTAAGTTGCGTGACTGATATCGAGTGTGATGATTCAATTTCGTGACATAGCACCTTGCAAATTCTCTGTGTTGGTTCGTTTCGGTGTGTTTCTAGAGACGAGTCTCGAGAGCGTTCTCGTAAAAAGAGCCCAGAGAGAAGTAGAAAGTCCCGAAGGGAAGAGAAAGAAGAAAAGGAAGTCAAACGAAAGAAGAAATCAGTCAGCTCAGAAGAAGAAAAACCCCGAAGAAAACGAAGACAAGATTCAGGAAGGTGAGTGTCGCACCACTTTGATCATTAAAGACCTAGATCTAGCCAACTTGTTTCAGGTTAATTGTTTCGAATCTGTCTTCGTATGGTTTTCAATTGAGTTTCGTAAAAACCAAAACCAAACCAGTTACTTACAAATTAGACTGCTCAGCCAATTTCAAACCGTAGTAAAACCAAAACCAAAAGTAATTGCCTGATTACTTTCGACACTCAATTGAAAACTGCTCTATTATTCTCCAGTCGTCGTATTATCTTTCTGGAGCTTTCCCATCGTGTAGAGGCTTATTTTGAGTATTTCTTCGTTTTGAAAGTAATCTTCTACACGTACTCTGCTAGTCGGAATAGTGACTTTCTGTATCATAATGGTCCCTGCATGAATGATCTACGGTCGCCTTGTATCTCACTCTAAAACACTGACCAATGCTAATTTTTCCTTTCTGTAGTCGATCAGAGAGCGAAAGTCCTGGAAGACACAACAGGAATAATCAGCAGAAAGGGGAAAGAGATCACAAAAGTAGAAAAGAAAATCGCAGCCCGTCAACAGATAAAGAAAATGTTGCAAGAAATCGACGCCATAGATCTGCTTCCTCCCCACAGAAAGCAAAGTCTTATCAGCAATATAATAAGCCCGACGAGAGAAAAGAAAGAGTCATGCGGGATGACCGTGTTAATCGACGAGGCGAAGAACGTTATAGACAGGAACGCGTCCGTGAGGAGCGTGAGGAGCGCGATAATCGTACACGTTATGATCGGTCACGTGCGGACCGGGGCAACTTGCCTGATAACCAAGTGAGCGAAGGGCGAGGAAGGCGGAAGCGACAGTCCCCGGAGAATGATGTTCGTGAAAGACGGCAACGTCGTTCTGGGCGGTCGAGCTCTGCAGAGAAATCCCCTGAAGTCACTAGGAAGCAGGGAAGACAGCGCAGTGCGCGAAGCCTGTCTGAAGAAAAGCGACCGATACGACATCAAGAACCTGGTGAAGAAAGGCCTGAAAGGAGGCGCCGGAGATATAGTACAAGCCCTGAACAAACAAGAGGTGCAGCTAGAAGAAGTGACTCTCGTGAGGCAGAAGGACATCGTCGAACTCGACAAAGAGAAAACGTTGTCTCTAGAGAAGGCGATAGACGGGAGGGTGGCCGAGTGGAACGTGCTGTCACTCCTAAAGAAAGGCAACGGAGACGGAGTTCTTCCAGAGAAGAGAGAAGATCCCGAAAACACCGGTCTCCTTCATCTGACGATAGGCACCGCATGGAGAACACGCGTAGAAGTCGCAAGCAAGAGCAGTCCGACAGTCTCTCTAAAGAAAGCCGCAGAATGACCACATCGTTCGCATCACAGTCTCCGATCAGAGAGAGTAGGCAGAGGATTAGGTCACCTAGTGAAAAAGGCGAGACACCTCCGCCGAAACTGGCTGTGAAAAAATTAGAAGTGGTGAGCGAGAAACCAAAGAAAGGAAAGCAAGTGACAAAAAGCAAACGAAAGGCCGAAGCTAGCTCAGAGGAGAGTTCTTCCAGTAGTTCGTCCGAGTCAGAGTCACAGTCAGAGTCCGAAGGCGAATCCTCGGAAAGCAGCCCCGAGAGACCATCCGCGCAGCCAAAACAGCGATCACGTGCTGAAGCGAGTGTTACGGAAAGAACTCGGAATAGCAGACCGTCATCGTCACCTCGTAACACTAGACAGCAGTCCCCTTCCCCGTCACCTCGTAACACTAGACAACAGTCCCCTTCCCCGTCACCTCGTAAAGCTGCGTATCAGTCTCCTTCCCCGTCACCTCGCAATGCTAGACACCAGTCTCCTTCCCCGTCACCTCGTAATGCTAGACACCAGTCTCCTTCCCCGTCACCTCGTAATGCCAGACACCAGTCTCCACCAGTTCACTCTCCAAGTCCCAGTCCTTCTCCTGTGAAGCCATCAAGACCGTCCCCAGACAGTGCGATGCCTTCAAGACGGCGGAAAGCTAGCAGAAGCCCAAGTCCACCCCCTGTGCGTCGAAGGCCAGCTCCGAGCCCAGTTCGTGCTAGACTAACGAATAGAAACCGATCCAGAAGTAGGTCTGGCGGGAGAAATGACAGAAATAAATCACCAAACCCCAAGGAAACAAGACATCGTAGTCGTAGCCCGAGGGGTCCACTTCCCCTGCCATCTCGTAGGCGTCAACCATCCCGGAGTGTAACACCCCCAAGACCTGACAGAATGCTCAGCTCATCGCCTCCACGAAGACAACCTTCAAGAGGTTCCAATCAACGCCGGAGAAGAAGTGATAGTCGTAGTCCCAGACGTTCTCCACCCGTCCAGCCTCGGAGGCGTCAACCATCCAGAAGTGCGACGCCACCGAGAACTAAAAGAAGCCCTAGCCCTCCCCCTGTCAGGAAACGCCGATCAAGAAGCCCAGTTAATGCCCGAGGCTCAAATACGCGCCAAAGCAGAAGCCCTGCACGAAATGCGAGTCACAGCCCTAGAAGTTCTCCACCCAAGCAAATGCGTAGGCGTCAGCCACCAAGAAGTGTAACGCCTCCACCGAATCGGCCTTCGCCGAGCCCATCTCCCAAGAGACCCAGCCCTGTTCAGAGACGAAACAGAACTCCCAGTGCATCGCCTGTCCGCAGAAGAAGCAAAGTGACGGAACGAGACCTTTCTCCTGTCCAGAGAAGAAGTCAAAGCTCCAGTGGATCTGCGGAGAAGGGCCCTCGTGGACCTCCGTCTAGAAGGTATGTACGATGGGGTTTGCGGAAACTCCGGAAAGTACGAAATGAGGAGGATGTAGTGATATCTCCAGCGCAGTATTCATATGCGATTAGCGATGTTTAATTCCGTTAAGATCTTGTGGTTAGCGCGTTAGCAATGAGATTCCGTATCTTGGTTTGATTCCCGTCGTCTCTCAATTCGTCGGAGGAGGGGGTGGGGGCTAACGGGTATTTTACGTTGGACTAACATCTCATCCAGCGAGGTTAGTTCTCTGTGTTCCTGGGTGAATGTTTAGCATTTTATAGAATCAACGCCATGCTTTGTTATGCTACCAGTGTTGTTGAGACTTGGTTTCTTGTTTCTAGAGTCCGTCAGGAGAAAAATCAGGATAAAGGTGAAGTGGCGAAGCCTAAACAAACTAAAACCACCGAGAACAAGTCCCGGAAGAAGAGCAGCGGCCAAAGCGGAAGTAGCTCTGAAAGTGACTGCAGTGAGAGTGAAAGTAGCAGCGACGACAGTAGCAGTGAGGAGGAGTCTGGATCCGACAGCAGTAGCTCAAGTGACGACAAGCCAAGACGATAGCGAGTTAATACAATGCTTGTTTGTGTGATAGCTTAGAACTAACGGCTTGCACTCGGCAAATGACATTAATAGGCGTAAATGAGCAGGTTAAAGACAGTTTTCTTCTAACGTGCAGTGCTTGTACTTTAGGCGGCGTAAATTCTCTTTTAAGTCTTCCGCCAGAGATGAGCCCTCGGTTTTAGGCAGGAATGTTACTTAGCAACGTGACGTATGTTGTTAGAGACTAGTTGTCGTCACGATTTCCTTAGTTCTCGTGCTATTCTCTGATTGGACTATAAGAATCGGAAAATCTTCGTTTTATACGAGGATTTCTGTTTCCCTCGGTCTGTGCGCGCTCCAGTAAGATACCGCCCTGATAAGCCAGCTAAAGTCGCGGTTTTCTTATCTTCCTCTCTCCTCTATGAAGCTCTCGGACGCTTATCGAAATTTTCAGGTTTTCTCTTGTCAATCTCCATTATTTACCAAGCGCAATTTTTATAGTTTTATTTTTGACAAGAAACCGAGAGTCCGGCCTTCCTCATTCACTTACATTTATTTTGGACTATGGGTGGGTTTATATTTTAGATTTCATCATTCCACGAGGGCACAAAATTAAGGATGAGCTCTTATTCGAGTGAATGTAAGTCGATTAGCCTGGCCTAGCCGGATAGTCCCAACCAGAAGTCGATTAGCCCCCATTTACGCTCTAAGAACGAGACTTCCCGTTGAGAGCTATTCGACTTCTGGTTGGGAGCTAAACGGGGATATAATTCATGGTAGGCCACCCATATAGTCTCCCCGCAGTTTGCTTCTATTTACTGCCGTTTGCTTGCGGTTAGCATTTAAATATTGTGTTTAATTGCAGTTGGCATTTATTTACTACTGTTTGCTTGCGGTTAACATTTAATTACTGCTGTTTGCTTGCGGTTAGCATTTAAGGAGTAAAGGGGAAGGCGAT